AGGAATGCCCGATTCTTAAGCATATTTTATATTGACATTAGTAATGTGTGGCCAGTTAATGAGGGGAGCATATTGAGTATATATGAGAATGTACTCAAGAATACTTGCTGTTAGAGTAACATCGGGATTCAGCCAAGACATCAAGCTAGCTATAAAACATTCCCTTCACTGCACTGAATATATTATCTGCCTTGAAATCCAACTAAATATCTCCTTGCAGAGAAGGTGTAGCAGTCTGATGTTCCAGAAAGAGCAGAATTCCTAGTTGCACTACAGTAGCTGAAATTCAGTAACATGCAGCTAAACCTTTTTTATTTCTTAGTTTGAAGAAGTGTATGTCAGTATGAAAAGTAACATAGTGACACAGCACAATATGAAATAGGAGTTGAATTCAGTACATATTCAAGCTTGTGTTTGTTTCCAACTTGGTACATTTAGCAAGACATATTGCAGCACCTTTTTAGAAGGTCATTTATGGTCTGACACCTTTAAAAGTAGACGTCTTCATGCTTTTTTTAATAATAATATTTAGCTATGCTGAACCAAGTTAGTTTTACTTTTATCATTTGTTTTAAGCAGTATTTTGTAATGTCATACTTAAAATTATTTTTCTTTTTTGGTTTAAAATGGTTTTTGATTAGTCTAAGCAGCCTTCTTCAAAAAAGATTGACTTGTGAAAATCATGCTTCTCTTGCTATTTTCATTATTCCCTTTAGTAGCTTCAAAAAAGTTTCTGTTCCATACCCAAAGGCTTATGGGCTGAAAAAAAAAAAAGTTCCCTTCTTTTCTTTTTAAACAAGAGTTACAACTTTCTCTGTGGTGAATGCTTAGAAGTACTCCTAAACTTCGTGACTAGTGGCTGCAGGCAGCTGTTCTTACACTACCACAGTACTAAGAGGTACGTCAGTAGAGAGATACAGATAACCTTGTACCATCTATAAACTCTATGTGATAGTCAGCCCATTACAATTTAAAGAAAACTGAATTTTCTGTAGCATTTTATTTTTCCTACCATGACATACACTGTGTTTAAGAAATACGTAGTCCCTGTCCTATGTGTAGTGTGGTCCATTCACTGTTCCTCTTGTGACGGACACACTATTACGCAGATTTGAGGTTTTTTAAGTGGAGTTACGCATTGCTGCTGTTATGTAATGGAACATGTACTGTGTTAATAACAGGAGATTTCATGTCTTGCCATTTACTTCATATAAAAAGGCATAGGAAACCTTACCTTAGCAATAGGCTATGTAACCTAAAGGAACCTTAGCTCTTGGACCCTTCAGTTTTTTTGCTGTGGCTGTCCTGAAGTTGAAGCTCTGTCAGACGTCCTGAAAGGATGTCACTTTACCCTTGCTCTCAC